CCCGGAGCCCTTATAAGAGCTGCAGCCTGAGCCGAAGGCGTGGACAGAGCCTTCCTCGCTGCCAGCAGCATCCTCATCCTCGGCCGCGGCTCCACAACCTTCCATTGGCTCCTGTAAGGGCCTCGGGACCTCCTCGGGGGGCTGCGACCTTCCTCGGCCTCATCATCCTCGGTTTGGGGGGCTGGGACTTTCTTCAGCTTCAGTTTGGGGGTTCAGGACCTTCCTCGGCCTCATCATCCTCGGTTTGGGGGGCTGGGACTTTCTTCAGCTTCAGTTTGGGGGGTCAGGACCTTCCTCGGCCTCATCATCCTCGGTTTGGGGGGTCTGGGACCTTCTTCAGCCTCCTCATCCTCCTTTTCTTGGTGTCTGGGACCTTCTTCAGCCTCAGTTTGGGGGTTCAAGACCTTCCTCAGCCTCATCATCCTCGTTTTTTTGCGGTCTGGGACCTTCTTCAGCCTCCTCCTCCTCGGTTTGGGTCTTCAGGACCTTCCTCAGCCTCCTCCTCGGTTTGCAGGGGCTGGGACCTTCTTCAGCCTCAGTTTGGGGGTTCAGGAGCTTCCTTAGCCTCATCATCATTTTTTGGGGTCTGGGACCTTCCTCCTCCTCAGTTTGGGGGTTCAGGACCTTCCTCAGCCTCCTCCTCCTCAGTTTGGGGAGCTGGGACCTTCCTCAGCCTCATCATCCTCATTTTTTGGGGTCTGGAACATTCTTCAGCCTCGTTTCGGGTCTGGGACCTTCCTCAGCTTCAGTTTGGGGGTCTGGGACCTTCCTCCTCCTGCTCCTCAGCTTTGGTTTGGGGAGTCTGGGACTTTCCTCATCCTCCTGCTCCTCAGTTTGGGGTCTGGGACCTTCTTCAGCCTCATTTTGGGGGTTCCAGGACATTCTTCAGCCTCAGTTTGGGGGTCTGGGACCTTCTTCATCCTCCTCCTCCTCCTTGATTTTGGGGTCTGGGACCTTCTTCAGCCTCATTTGGGGGTTTAGGACCTTTTATGTGTTTTGGGCTTCAGGTGGAACCTTCCTTCTCATTTTGGGCTCCAGAACCTTCTCCCTCTTCCTCATTTTGGGCCTTAGGTAGAACCTTCCTTCTCATTTTGGGCTCCAGAACCTTCTAATTCTTGACTTCTCTCTCCATTCCAGGCTCCATCCACCATCACCACCACCACCACCACCTCCACCACCACCCCTTTCCTCCTCCTCCTCCTCCTCCTCCTCCCGTCACCGTGGGGAACCTCTTCCCCAGCATGGGCAATGCCAAGAGCGGCGCCTTGTCTAAGGAGATCTTGGAAGACCTGAAGACCAACACGAGGTACTCTGAGGAGGAGCTGTGCCGGTGGTACGAGAGCTTCCAGCGCCAGTGCCCCGACGGTCGCATCAGCCGCTCCGAGTTCGAGAAGATCTACGGCACCTTCTTCCCCAACTCGGACCCACAGGGCTACGCGCGCCACGTCTTCCGCAGCTTCGACACCAACGACGATGGCACCTTGGATTTCCGGGAGTACATCATCGCCCTGCACCTCACCTCCTCGGGAAAGACACACCTCAAGCTCGAGTGGGCCTTCTCCCTCTTCGACGTGGACAGGAACGGCGAGATCAGCAAGAATGAGGTGTTGGAGATCATCTCGGTGAGTGTAGGGGGAAGGAGGGGATGTGGTGGGTGAAGGTTCTGTGGTGGGTGGAGGTTCTGTGGTGGGTGAAGGTTCTGTGGTGGGATGGGAATCTATGGGGCAGGAATGTCCAAGAAGGTTCCATGGGGTGAGAAGGTTCCATGGGGTGAGAAGGTTTATTGGGGTGAGAAGGTTCTATGGGGTGAGAAGGTTCCATGGGGTGAGAAGGTTTATTGGGTGAGAAGGTGCCGTGGTGAACAGGAAGGTCCAAGAAGGTGCTGTGGGGGGAGAAGGTTTCTGTGGGGTGAGAAGGTTCTATTGAGTGAGAAGGGTCTATGGGATGAGGAGGGTCTATGGGGTGAGAAGGTTCTACGGGGTGAGAAGGTGAACAGGAAGGTCCAAGAAGGTTCCGTGGGGTGAGAAGGTTCTATTGAGTGAGAAGGTGAACAGGAAGGCCATGGTGAACAGGAAGGTCCAAGAAGGTTCCATGGAGTGAGAAGGGTCTATGGGGTGAGGAGGTGTCATGAGCCTTCTCCCACTTTGGTGGGGATAAGAATGGGGAGATCAGCAAGAATGAGGTGTTGGAGATCATCTCAGTGAGTGCAGGGGAAAAAGAGGTGATGTGGTGGGTGGAGGTTCATGGTAGGTGAAGGTTTCATGGTAGGATGGGAATCTATGGAGCAGGAAGGTTCAAGAAGGTTCCATAGGGTGAGAAGGTTCTATTGGGTGAGGAGGTGCCGTGGTGAACAGGAAGGTCCAAGAAGGTTCCATGGGGTGAGAAGGTTCCATGGGGTGAGAAGGTTTATTGGGTGAGAAGGTGCCGTGGTGAACAGGAAGGTCCAAGAAGGTGCTGTGGGGTGAGAAGGGTCTATGGGGTGAGAAGGTTTATTGGGGTGAGAAGGTTTATTGGGTGAGGAGGTGCCGTGGTGAACAGGAAGGTCCAAGCAGGTGCCATGGTGGGACAATGATCTATGGGGTGAGGAGGTTCCATGGTGGACGACGGTTCTGTGGTGGGATGGGGATCTATGGGGCAGGAAGGTTCCATGGGGTGAGAAGGGTCTATGGGGTGAGGAGGTGCCATGAGCCTTCTCCCAGTTTGGTGTGGATAGGAATGGGGAGATCAGCAAGAATGAAGTGTTGGAGATCATTATGGTGAGTGCTAGGAGGTCTGTGGGGCAGGAAGGTCCAAGAAGGTTCTACAGGGTGAGGAGGTGTCATGGTGGGACAAGGAGCTATGGGGCAGGAAGGTTCAAGAAGCTGCCATGGGGTGAGGAGGTGCCATGGTGGATGAAGGTTCTGTGGTAGGATGGGAATCGATGGGGCAGGAAGGTCCAAGACGGTGCCATGGGGTGAGGAGGTGCCATGGTGGATGAAGGTTCCATGGTGGGATGGGAATCGATGGGGCAGGAAGCTCCAAGAAGGTGCCGTGGTGGATGAAGGTAGCTTGAAGGGTCCATGGTAGGATGGGAATCTATGGGGCAGGTGGGTCCATGGAAGGTGCCATGGGGTGAGGAGGTGTGATGATGGGCCAAGGTCCCATGGGGTGAGGAGGTGTAATGGTAGATGAAGGTTCCGTGGTGGGATGGGGATCTGGGGGGGAGGAAGGTCCAAGAAGGTCCATAGAAGGTGCCGTGGTGGAACAAGGTGCCATGGGGTGAGAAGGTGCCATGGTGGGCAGGAAGGTCCAAGAAGGTGCCATGGTGGGACAAGGATCTATGGGGTGAGAAGATGCCATAGTGGGATGGGAATTGAGGATGGGGATGGGGAGGAAGGTCCAAGAAAGTGCCATGGGGTGAGAAGGTGCCGTGGTGGGCAGAAAGGTCCAAGAAGGTGCCATGGTGGGACAAGGATCTATGGGGTGAGAAGATGCCATAGTGGGATGGGAATTGATGGGACAGGAAGGTCCAAGAAGGTGCCATGGGGTGAGAAGATGCCATGGTGGGATGGGAATTGATGGGACAGGAAGGTCCAAGAAGGTGCCATGGGGTGAGAAGATGCCATGGTAGGACAAGGATCCACAGGGGGAGGAAGGTCCATGGAGGACCAGGGAAGCTCTGGTGCAGGAAGGATCCATGGGGTGAGAAGGAGGTGTGGGGTAGGAATGTCCCATGGAGAGATGTGGAACTAGGAGGCAAGAAGGACCTTTTGGGTGAGAAGGTGCCACGGGGGGACAAGGATCTGTGGGGCAGGAAGGGCCTACAGGGCAGGAGATTCCCATGGGGTGAGAAGGTGCCATGGTGGGACTGAGATCTATGCGGATGGACAGGGATCCATGGGGCAGGAGATTCCCATCCCACCATGGGGGATCCATGGGGCAGGACAGGGATCCATGGGGCAGGAGATTCCCATCCCACCATGGGGGATCCATGGGGCAGGACAGGGATCCATGGGGCAGGAGATTCCCATCCCACCATGGGGGATCCATGGGGCAGGACAGGGATCCATGGGGCAGGAGATTCCCATCCCACCATGGGGGATCCATGGGGCAGGACAGGGATCCATGGGGCAGGAGATTCCCATCCCACCATGGGGGATCCATGGGGCAGGACAGGGATCCATGGGGCAGGAGATTCAGGACAAGGATCCACAGGGTGAGGAAGGTCCATGGAGGACCAGGGAAGCTCTGGTGCAGGAAGGATCCATGGGGTGAGAAGGAGGTGTGGGGTAGGAATGTCCCATGGAGAGATGTGGAACTAGGAGGCAAGAAGGACCTTTTGGGTGAGAAGGTGCCA